TTTATGCATAGGTATTGCTGCTCCGCCGGCTTTCCTCTCGATTTTATGTGCTGTTTATGAGATTGCCTGACACTTTTATGCACTCCCTGTTTTACGACAAAGGGTTGGCCCCACCAACTTTGGGGGCTCCGTCTGCCAGTCAAATCGAATGAGTTATTGGATGGATTGGATTTGGCAAGGATGGTTCAATATGAGCTGGATTTAGTGCAATATGGGTTTCCCATGTGGGTTGGGAAATTGAATATGAGTACGACTATCAACTTGGAGGTACAAGATTAATGCATCTGAATTATTCAATTCATAATTCCCGATATTACCTCCAAAGGCTTTTGGAAAATGATATTATATTATATGAAAACAACACACTGGCTTTATGTTTTTAGTTACTATTTTGGCGTGGCTTTTTGATTTGTTCAATAAACCCTACTACTTCTACGAATTATTCCATCACTCATTTGTGAATGGGTCAAGACTCGACAGTCATCGCCACGTCAACACCAAAAGTGCTGGCCATTGTCCTCGATTGTTTCTGTTTCTGTATCTGATTCTTTTCAGTTGCAGTTACTGCTGGCGATGAAAAATCGATGCACCCAAAATAAAACTCAATCAGAAGCAATTAAAGGACTTTACAATGGAGCGACCGTAGCAGCGAGACAATGAGGAATACACATACAACCAGATGATCAAGGGCGTTGTCCAGTTAGGGTCACGGTGGACCTTTCCCATCCCCCGTAGGGGTCGAGGGTCAGGGAACACCTGGCTGACTGGACGCCGTCTGAGTCGGGATTTATCTGGGCGTCGGAGTGGCCACCAATAAAAGTGGCAACAAAGGCGAAAAGTCCCGAAAAGATTTGATTTTGACGCGTGGCCACACTGGGAAAAAGCCAATATATATCAAGAACATTTCAAATTATAAGGGTGGTGATTTTATATTATATTTTATATTTAATAAGATTTTGCCATAAGTTTGAAAGTCCTGAAGAGCTCTCATATGCCATATTCGGTGTTAAGTATTTTCCATAATATTTCAATCAAATATCTCTCAAATATTCCTGCATTTTTCAATGCCGGAATGTTTTTGATAAATATATACGGTATCTTAAAACCTATGCTGTCTGATTTTAATCGAAAGTGCTTATGCATATTTTGAAGTTATATTTGCTGCTTTGATGCGACTTTTGTATGCCCTTTGCTCGCAGTGCACACTCAACCCGAATCCTGCGCTGGCCTCCCGCCGCTGACCCTCCAGTTAGGAGCCAAAGGAAGCTACGCATCCGGCCCTGGTCGGGTTATACAGAAATCCTGGCCAGCCAGTTGGCACACGCACTGGTCTCGTGCCAGGACCTTTGTCCGGCGGCCGTTACAAATTGTTGTGGGCGTTCCAAATCGGCTTAGGACTCGCCTTTCTCCAGCTCATCCCTTCACTTGGAATTTAATTTTGTGTGAGTTTTGATTTCGCTCTTCGGATGGAGTCGCATTTCATCTTGTGTTTGGTTTTTGAGCGTTAAATCGCCAAATCCTTCGTTAATTTTGACGTTTGTCTTTGTGAGGTGAGGGTGTGGGTGTGGGTATTGGTGTGGGTGTGGCCCATTGATGACCGGCGGTCAGTGGATCGATATATAGATGACCCGTACTAGGGGTGAACCCGGAAGGAGAAGGAGCCACGCATGTGGGTGGAATTGCTGCTGGCAACCGCTCGTCCGGCTGGAGATTAAAAATTTAATTCGAAATTAGCGCAATTGTTGGAATTGCTCCCTTTTTTCGATCGATTCGAGTGGAAAGACAAACAAAATCGATGACTGACCGACCGGCAGCTGTCGTTTGCCCGCTCCGAGTGATGGCAACAATTTCCTGATTACTTTTGACCCTTCGAATGCGTTTTATGGTCATCAAGGAATGTCGGTTTTCATTCCTCAGCGATTTGATTTGCTCAGTCTGATGGCCATTAGTTTTTGAGCAGTGAACGATTTAACATAATCACAGTAAACTTTTAAATTCTGCAATTAGCATGTATGGGCATTATTATTAAAGATATAAATGCAGACTGCATTGCAGATTAAAAGTTCGAGTGTGGGAAATACTTTTGTAATTGAAATCCGCAAGATGCTAAGGGTAAAGGCTACTTTTCAGGCATTTTCCCTCTAAAATGGTCTCTAATTTCGCCGGACTGCTGGACATATCAATCAACTGCTAAGAAATTAGATCGGGGATCCGGCGGCGATATTATCTGAGTTTCGGCTGATGGGGTGGGACCTGAGCATAAAGACCAAACAATGGCGTGTTAATGGCAACTTTAAACTGACACCACTCCACGGGAAGGTTAATCGCTTCCCGGCCGGACATTGGCCACCACCCGCTGCTATCTGGGCTAGGGTTAGGATACGGTTTTGGGATTCGGGAAACGGGAATTGGCGGGGGAGGCAGCGTGATAAATGCATCGGACGCAGCGGGTGGACGGCGAATAGAGTTGTCAACTCGCTGGAGGAAAACAGGGCTGCCGCGGCAGCTGGAACAGCAAAATGAAAAATAGAGCCCGAGGGATATGTGGGGATATGCCGGCTATGATTCAATTTCGCTCAATAGAAATGTCACTAACACATTTTGCATATTAATTGAATTGGGGCTGCCGCGGGACACTTGAACTGCCAATTGATTTTTGCGGTTTTTCGACAAAAATGTCCAACAAATTGCGCAAAAATTTTTTACTCGCTCTGGAACACGCCCTTATCAACACTACAGTACTGCCGGCCATGTATCTCGTTTTTTATTTGGCCAGGTGTGGCTAGTTGTTGTCGCCTCTTGTTTGTTTTGCATTAAACGGTTTGTTTTGCTAACCAAAGTGTTGATTTTATGGCCAGCCACCAGTCGGATTTTTTATTTTTTCCAGCCACCAACAACGCGAAATCGGAGCTACTGAATCAGCCAGTTACCTTCCAGCAGATATGTATATATCATTTCAATCTCTGCAATTTGCAATTTATATGGCTTATAGAGCGGCAGTGTCTGCTATTTGTTGGATTTAGCCAAAGACCAATATAATGGCTATTGCAATATTTTGGGATAGAGCTTATAACTATTTTCTATAAAAAGTATATTTTTTAGATTCAGATACCTTAACTTTGGGAAAGACTTGTGTTTGATTCGATATCAGACATTTTCTAAACTAGAAACCTTTCTGTCCTGATGGTATCTATTAAATCGTGCGACTAAGATTGATTACCCAAAGCCGTCTTACAAAAACTATCGCCATTCAAAAGGTCTCCATAAAACAAAACAATACTACACATTTTATCCGTACTTAATATAACTTTGTATAGTGCCCCATAAACCCTTCATTACACGGCACTAAAGTCGGGGCAATAAAGGCAACTACAGCAACTAAAACCGAAAATAAAAACTCAATTTGAATTCAAAAACCACCAAAAATGGTGCGTGCTTATCGCCTTGCCTTTTCCTTTGGACCCCGAGTTTAACCCGAATCTGAAATTAAACCTGAACCCGATGAGCTCGATAAAGCGACAAAAGCGGTCTAGAAAATAAATTAAAAATACATTTTTACGTAAATGTGGCACTTAAAAGGCAACTTGAGGAAAGCACATAATAAATATAAAAACACAATTAAATAAGTGCATAGAAAACAAATTCGGAACGAAAAAAACAGTCGAAACAGCGCAACAACAGGGAAAACAAAAATAAAAAACAGAAATAAAAGAGCACACGAATTAAAATAACACCAAGATATTTCAACTACTCGACGTGAAAGGGCAATAGCTCTGGTGGAGCCCAATCCGAAATACCCTGTAAATTCAGATCACAGTTTGGCTAATAAATCGAGAAGCTTGAAAACTAAGTATTCATTTCGTTACTATACTAAAATATACTATTTAAAAAATATTTTAAAATGTTTAAATATGTTTAAAGTGTGACTGGTCCAAAATGCTCGACCTTTTCTGGTTTCCCCCCAAGCACAGCTGACAAAAGAGGTGTTGAGACAAGAGCCAACCGACTCGAGAAATGTTAATGTAAATTTCAATTGTTTTAATTTATTTGTGACCCCTTCGCCACCCGACAAACCGTCACGGACTAAGTTAATGTTACATATACACACATATAACACACGGCAAAACAAAAAACTGAATTGAAATGAAGGCAGAAAGCGGCGGACTGATTGCCGGTTGGCTCTATTCTTTGGCCTATCTGTCCAAGACGTGACTGGCATTCCACCCAGGGATCCATCCGTCCATCCGTCCGTCCGAAGGTTTCGTCGGGGGAACGGAACCAACTGTATCTGGAGCACAACGAACGGAACGGTCTCATAACCGGAGCGTTTCCAAGTAGCTTACTGAACTCTCCCCGAACAAAAAGATATATAAATTATTCTTCCGAAAAAAGCGCTTGTTAAAAACATAGTGGAAAATCGAGGAAAACGCCAACGGAATGTTCGATGAAAAATGCGTTCGGTTTACCATTAATCCGCTGCCCTGATCCAGGGCGACAGATCATTACACACGCGCGGAACTCCCCAAATGGGAGGAGCTCCCCAAGTGGGGACATGCGACAGGCGACTGGCGACTGGCGATGTTAGGGGCCCCCCGAAATCGTAAGTATATGTAGATTTATTAATAAAAACTCCCGAAAAAACGGATGCACATCGCCCGAAAACGGGAGGGCGGGTGTGCTGCAGTTGTTGCCTGTCCGTAATTTATAGACCCGCTGCCGAATGACATGCTAACTAATAGTATCATCATAATTTATACATACAAATACATTGCATTTGTTATTTATGCCCTTGCCACCCCTCGAAACCAAAGCCACCCCCATCCTCTCGTGATTTCCATACCGATCCCCGCTGACAGAGGTCACAGCACCCAGGAAGGCAGAAGGTCACCCGGCGTTAATGGCAGCGTTTGACCCTCGGCCATATTTGAATATCGATTACAATTAAACGGTCACAGCTGTGGATAAAGGACACGTGATCGCAGATTGATATATGCGATCAATTTATAGTCCTTTAACGAGAAATTTCGATTTATTTGCTTGTAAATACAATTTGTGCCAAATGAGATTCGCAAAGTATAGTTGGGAACTAACTAGTGGGTTCTTCTAGAACCAACTGCCTCGGTGGGATTGCGAAGGGTTCAGATCATTGAGACCTGAAAAGCAAATTTACATGCGATTCTTCAGGGTAATTCAGGTTAATTTCAAATTACAAGGCATTACCGTTCGAGCGACTGGAGTAGCCCCCAGCTAACCTTTGACCTCCATGCATGGCACCAACTCGCATTCCAGCGCCCAGGCCATTGCTCATGCCCTGACCCATGCCTGAACCCATGCCCTCATCGAATCCCATGGACGCAGGCATACCATTACCCATTCTCTGGCCCATTTCATTACCAGGCTCTGGGCCTAGTCCTTGGACCGTAGCCGGGCTAAAATTTTCGATGAAGGTTTTAGATGAACCTAAGGATCCACTAAATACTTACCCAACTTGAGAGTGACCATAGCTGGGCTTAAAGTTGGTGTACATGTTCAGCATGTTCTGGTTGTAGGAGGCGAAAGGATCCCCTGGAGATGCGTGATTCTGGTGGGATCCCATTCCATGGGGACTGGAGCCCTGCGTATAGTTCGCCTGATTCGAGTGCAGCCACTGTCGACCGCCGCCTCCAGAAGGAGCTCTACCCATTCCCATCTGAAATCATTCGGGGCTTAGCCCACTTCGGTTTTCCGAGGTCCGTGGACAATCTCACCTGTGAGTAGTTGGGATTGCCCTGACCACCATGACTGTACTCCCAACTAAACTCCGGACCGTTCTCCATCGTAAGAAAAATTGGAAAATTTCAAATGGTGTTTTGGAAAATTTTGTTGGCCGATATGTTACCTAACTGAATGCCGGACTGAAAATGACTGATCGAGTCCGAATCAGCCGAAGTACACATTAATGTGTTTTCTATGGCTACTTGATTTGGACACTTAACGTGGTTTATTTATGTACAATTCTAATGTTCATATTATTCTATAACACAATAACAAGCGCATTAATCCTTGCGTTCTCACATTATGAATATCATTAGCTAAAACCGGTCTGAGTTCTATACTCGCTCTTAACGGAATACTTGTGATTAAATATTATCTTTGCAGTTCTCACATATTCTTAGTCATAATAAAATTCAAATTGTGTGCAAACACAAACTCATAATAAACATTTTTAATCCCCATCTCGAGTTATTAGCTATTAATGGCAGTTAAAAACAGCCATTCAAAGTTATTGAATTAGTCATTTCAATCTGGCTGATTTATGGAACTGAAGTCCAGATGCTGGTGATAAATAAAGAGCAGTAAATATTGATTATGGTTGTGTTCTAAAAATTAAATGCAATCAGGTGAAAATGAATACAGTGGAATCAGTTGGAATCAGTATTAATATCTTTTTGATGGGTAACTTTAAATAAATATGGTCAGAAAGGGAATCCAGCACTTCAAACTGAAACCTATGTTGGGCCACACTTTGGTAGATAAGGAACCCTGTTATCCTTATGCCGCCTGACAGCTTAGCGACTTCCACCTGTACTCACCGCATGCCGCACAGCTGTGTTTTAGCCGTCTCTGCAAACCAGTTTGCTATCGGTCCGAGTAGTATTTATGTTTCTGGCCGATCGGCAAAACAAAGGCCAGAGACTGACCTACAAAGGAGCTGCAGACAATGGCAGATGACCTCATAAATTGCATCGTTATGAGGTTCATAAATATATTATGGCTTCATATTCATAATGCACTTGAGGCCAAGTGTCGGCATGTCCTTGGACCAGCAATGGTACCTACCTGTCTGCCCAGAAAAAGTATCTCGAGAGTCCTAAGATTTATGGCTGGAGTGGCAAGAGATGAGGGCACGTTAGCTCTGCTTTTTTAGCAGCAATTTAAAATGCATAAAATATTTGATGGTCCCCTTAACTCAAAACAAGGCATCGGGAAAGGAAAAGGAAACGAGAACTGCCCTGCTTTGATCGTCATCTCCCTGATGGCTAATCCCATTTTATGGCATTCGTGCGGTCTTGTGCCGTAAAATTGTTTTGTCACCTGTTGAAAACATTTTTTATTTTTAATTGAAAAAATCTGGGAATGCTGCTGCGAGCTCCAGAGCACACAGAAATTTCATAAATTTCATGACGACCCTCGCTCGGGGGAAAAATGTTTTTCTTACGTTGGCTTGCCTATAGTTTCTATTTTCTCCACCGACTTTTTGTCTAAATTTAAACGTATTTACACGTAGGAAAATATGAATTTCGAGCGCTTAAGGTCCATCCTAATTGCCGCCAATTAACACCTTCAATAAGCCCAAATACCAAGAGCTCATTTGTCAGGGCCACGGGGGCGTTCAAATGCCTTGTGGCCCCGGCAAAACATTTTGATTTATCAACTCTTTTTACATTCCCAACACGAGTGCATCGATCAGAGGCGGAGGACACGAAAATAGCCGCATTGGAACTTCAGAGTCATCGGAGTCATCTGCATTAAGATCCGACAACGACAACACTCGAATCGATTTAACTCTTTGACCCCGCCCACTCGTCGACCCCGATAGATCCAGGTTCCTGGGTCGACCGACAGCCAACATATGCGAGGGTCTATTAAAAAAATTGTTTATGAAAACAAACATTTTCGAGGCAATTAATCATTGGCATCATCGGCGGCGCGTGGGGGAACTTCAGCCATATAGCACCCATCCACCATTCTACATCCACCGTAACCCCTTCATATCGAGCTGCTTCTGCCGTCGATGATGATAATACTGATGATGATCTCCATCTCTACAGCTCTCCATCTGCAGTAGCTGGCTGAGTGCCCCCAGTTTTCATTTGGAAATCGTTTTATGGTCCCATCTTGGGGAACTCATCGAGACGAGGGGAGTGTTAAACGTCTGCCAATTAGTGATGCTTGTTGGATCTGTTGTTGCGATCGTTCTCCTAATTGGCTAAAATATGAAAGGCCTACGCTTAATCACTGGAATAAATCCGCTCGAGCGTATAAAGTTCATGAAGATGCCAGAGTTTATGGGGTGGGGCTAGACTATGTTTAATAAGAAGGGATTCTAATAAAGTGTTTGGGAATGACCCATAATAATAGAACCTACAAGATATTTATATATGGTATACTACGCAAATTGTATCTACAAGATACACAAGATACACAATCAAAGAGCGCACAAGTTGAGCACTATTTCTATTTTGTATTTTATAGATGTATGTTTCCCCATTCGCAATTTTATATTCACCTCCTGCAGTATTGCTGCTATTGTTGTTGACAATTTGCGATATAAAAACTGATGTCCTGTCCGGCAAATATCCTCGGGGGATGGCCGGAATGGATGGGATGGATCTCTGTGTGATTTGATTGTGAAAACCGAAACAAACAAAAGTAATTTTTGAATGAAAAGCAATAAATTTGAGAACATTTATTGGTTTTTGGCTGGCTGTCATGTGCCAAAAGCAGCAGCAGCAACAACCGAAGGGGCATTGCTTCTGCTTGCATCATTTAGCTTTATGAGTCGCACAGGCGGATAGGAAAAGATACAGATACAGATACAGATACAGATACATGTACCATCCATACATCCACCCACAGATGGACAGATAGATGACTCCTTTGGCTTTCGGGGGTTGGGTTGGAATGCTGAGGAATCTTCATTGGAGATTGGCACTGAAAAAATGTTGATATACTTTTAAAATATACAAAAATACTCTGATATTTATGAAATTTACATCTTTTAGTATATATTTAAAAAAAGATACTTAACAATTGCAGTATTGGTATCGAATACAGTTTTCCCCATCTAGCGAATATTTAGTTTTTAATATAGTAGAGGTAAAAAGTATCTCTTATATTTTTAAACGTTTGATGTAATCATTTTAATAGGGTGTTTTGCGCAGTGCACTAGGAAGGAGCACTTGAGCGGGTTTCCGTAGTTCGGGCCTCGTCATTAGTCCCCGCATGGCGCGTGCCCGGGTTTTCCATGTTTTCCAGGTTTTCCCCGAACGGATCCCGCCAAGGCCGTAGAAGTGCAGCGACAATGGGCCGGAATGCTTCCGCAGTTGGCAGTTGCAGGAGGAACACTTTCGCATAATAACAATAACAATAAACCCGGAGCGGGACATGCTGGACAATGGAGGTGGTGCCCTGTGGTGGTCTAATGAAACGGGGGTGGACCCCTTGGCCAGTGGTCAGGGATCAGGGGTCAGGGGTCGGGGGTCTGGGGACGGTGGTCGGGGTCGGGCAGTTTAAATTGTGTCATGTTCGCATTTGGGACACATCCACCTCTATTTACAGGACTTCTGACCATTGTGGCAGGCTCAAAATTGAAATATTACACTTTTCACTCGAAAGCGGCGCTTTGTCAGCAGCAATAACTGTGAAATCAATATCGGAACCTTCGGCGACCTTTTGCCAATCTGACAGATGACCCGAACGTCCTTCTGCCGGTCCATCCTGTCCACTGGCAGGACATTAGCTCAGTCCACTCGGCAGTGGAATTAATGTGCCATATATGACGCTTCAATGAGTGGGTTCTGTCACTTCCGATCCCCATAAACGTGATCCTAATGATGCCACTTTCCAATCCCAATCCCAGACCCTCTGCGCGGTTCAAATGCTTAGGCTGGATACAATGCACATGTAATTCAAATCCTTGCGACATCGTATTGAAATGAATTCGTGGGATAAGCGTTTAATTTAGCAGGACATCTGGAAGTGTTACTGTTATACTAAGGATACGAAGTATAGATATGTTAGAAAACTTAACCTTATTACAGAAATGCCTTTGGAATTTCGAACTGAATCCTGCGGGCTATTGGCCTTCTTCCGCCCCGCCGTAACCTTTGACCCCCGACTCTCTCCGCTTCCCTCCTCGCCCTTCCGCTCCCCCACAACACCAACACCAAAACAGCGGACTGTCAACGCATTGTCAATTCTATTTTTATGTTTTATGTTGCTCGTTTTGTTTTCGATTCATTTATGTTTTCCCTGTTGTTCTAGTTCCCGTTTTGCGTGGCTTCCGCTGCGCTTCATTTGGTCTTCTCAAGCGGTTGTCTTTTGGTTCCAACTTTTTGGTGCCCTGCTCTTGGCCAGCCCCTAAAACGACAACACCCCCGCCCCTGACCTTTTTGTTTTTTTAATATTCGAGTGTAATATTTCAGTTTTTTGTGCGCTCCCTTTTTTCGAGCTGCCTACGCGGGGTTTTGTGAATGTGTGTTGACAATTTGTTGGTTGTTTTGGAGAACCGCTAAATAGCTACAAATTTATGAGCGTAAATAGCCGGCGTAAATCAATTTTTAATGCATTTCCATTTCCATTTGGTGGCCCGCCAAATGTCAACAGTAAATTGATGAGGCGACAGTTATGCATCCGAGAAATGTTTATTTAGAGCAATTCGGGTTTCCTTTGCTGCTCGAGTGAAAAACATTAAGGATATGCAAATGTAAGCAGAACGTTTTTTTCATTGTTTCAAATTCTAAAATTATAATGTGAAAATAGGTAAAAGAATGTGTTTAAAAAAATACTTTCTATCACATTTACAGTTGCCAAACTGTAGAAAATTCAATAAATGTTTTTTTTTTTATAAGTATATCTAAAATATCTAAAATATCAAAATATCTAAATATATCTAAAATTCAATAAATGTTTCTTATAAGTATTATTATCTAAAATTCAATAAATGTTGTTTTTTAAATTGAAATCTAAACTCCTTTAAATTAAATTAAGAATTGTGTAGTCCAAAGGTTAATTTTGCGATCCTGCCAAATTTAAAAGACTTAATTTATTCCTTCGAATTTGCAGGAAAACAGATGAATTACTCAAAACTTAACCATCGCATAATGCATATGTGCAAATGCAAATTTTCACTCGCATCCACACACACACATG